TATTTTATAAGATTATTTTTTAAACAGAATAAAATAGGTAACATTTTATTGAAAAAAAACCAGATTTTACATCTATAGACGTACGTTGATTTAATATGCTGAATCATTATTAATGGTATAGGCCTATACCTATTATATATTTCTATAAATTAATCAACAAATATCTCATTAATCACATATCGCAAGTAGGCCTATTGAAGTATTATTGAAATAATCAGGGGCGGATTTAGGGGGGGGGGCCGGCCCGGCTCCGGCCCCCCCTTTTGGGAGGTAAAAAAAAGAAAAAAAAAAGAAAAAAAGAGAGAAAAAGAAAAAAATGATAGCCCAGAATGCCTCAAATGTTATGTTCGGGCGTCTAGAACACAAAAATTTCGCGGGGGCATGCCCCGGACCCCCTACAACAGTGTTGTCTCAATCGGCCCAACTTTCGGCCCCCCCTTTTGGACATTTCTGGATCCGCCCCTGAATATTATTAATTCTTTATTAAAGCATTATTCGAGCACCTTCATTTTTATTATTATTATTATTTTATGTATTATTTATCAACCATACTAACATTGAAAACATGAATTATGTGGATAAAATTATCATAGAAAATAAACTTATAATTTATAAGATTATTTTTTAAAACAGCAGAATAAAATAGATAACACCTTTATTTTAAAAAAAAACAGGTTTTGCATAGACGCAAGTTAATTAAACAATATCTATTCATTTCGAGCACTGTTATTAAATTATTATTATTATTATTATTATTATTATTATTATTATTATTATTATTATTATTATTATTATTATTATTTTATTTTAAAATTTTTGTTGTTTTATTTTTGTTTTATATATGGGCCTAGATATAGGCTATGTATATATTTAATAATTAGAAATAATTATAATTAATTGTAAAACATATAAAATATAATGTTAACAATATTATAGGGTAGGCTAGACAAAACCAATTATTGATACCGTAATCTATAGATAAAAACATCCATTTGATAATTAAACAGCAGCTTTTCGAGTGGCAGTGCCGATAGAAAACCGCAGTGTTTTGGTACTGCGGCAGCCGATAGAAAATCGGAGCTTTTTTTTTAGCACTGCGGCAATAATGCCGACAGAAAATAACAGCTTTTTTTCGCACTGTGGCAGTGCCGATAGAAACAGGCCCGTAGCCAGGGGGGCGGGGGGTTATGGTTCGGGCGAACCCCCTTTCCTAGCGAACCCCCCTGTTTTCAAGCGAACTCCCACGAATTTTTGAATGAGTCCCACTCGGACGGAATGTCTGTTTTTAACTTACCCAGCATTAGGCCACGTAAAATAAAACAATTGGTTAGCATCCCCGCCCGACCGTCGGAAAATCCCCCGACCTGAATTTTTTTTTATTTTACACAAAACACTCAAAAACTCCACCTCCAGATTTACATAGGCCTATGCTTGTTTACCATCCGTCCGGACGCTAGCCGACTGGGCTTCTCCCAGCAGTTCCATTCCATCATCGTCCCGTCTAGGCCTAGGCTAGCCTAGTCCTTGCTTCTATCTAGAAAAGGCCTAGTTTTATGGTAGTACTGTAGTATAAAAAGAGTGTATTTGTATACACGGTACAGCCGATGCAAGCAAGCATTAAGATTTATAATAATAATAATATTTATTGACATTACACTTTTACATCAGTGGCAGCACACAAGAAAGTGGCGCAGTCAAACTTAAACTAATGAACAAATAGTAAAAACAACAACTTAAAGCTAAACAAATGAAAGAACTTAACTAAAGAAAATACAACTTAGATCTAAAATAAATCATGAACATCCCTCACCCTCCCCACACAAATAATGTACATAATACACATTACGTGCATAGTACCCCACCCAAATATGTGTGTATATATATACATATATATACATACATATATATACATATATACACTCATATAAATATACATACACACACATACACACACATATATACATATATATATATACATACATACACACATACATACACATATATACATATATACATACATACACACACACACACATATATATACATATATACATACATACACACACATATAAATACACATATATACATACAGTACACATATACATATATATACACACATACACACATACAAACATACATACATACATACATATGTACACCCATATATACATACACATACATATACACACATACACATATACACACACATACACACCCACACACATATATATTATACATATATACAAAGCGTTATAAAAGTATATAAAAGAAATTAAATTTAAAACATAAAAAAAGAAATATATGTATTACTAAAGCAACAATGCACATTTAACCTAATTTTAAATTTGATCTTCTATCCCAAGCTTTTTTAGCAAATGTTTTACAATATCTGTCAAATGCAGATTGAACATCACCATTAAAGAGATTATTTTC